TTTTTTTTTTTTTTTTTTTTTCTTTTTTTAAGGTGCTCGACTTCATCGAGGTTCAGTAACACGCCGAGCTTGGCTTTGCGTTTCCAATTTCGCATTCGCGTGTTCATTAACCGTTGAGCTCTTAGTTTTTCGAAACACAGTTTGACATGTTCCTGAGACTAACACGCGAGTTATCAGAATGAATTCTACCCTAAAAAAAAAAAAAAATTGTATCATGCGTGTGCTCCTCTGTGCAAGCAGCAAAATAGGATGGCCGTCACAGTGGATATTTCATCGACAACTGCGCGAGTATCTAACCGAAAATATCGTTCGAGGAACTGGCTGGTCGACTGGACAATAACTGTGGCCGGAAATATCATTCCGCGAGCGGCGAGAAATTCCCAGCGACAACTTGTTCACGTGGCATGCGGGGACAGCGGCGCGGACAAGGCATTAAAACGCCTAATTAAAATGACAAACTACACCGGCAGAAATTAGCTGGCTTCCCGGTGGCGGCGGCGGCGTGGCGCGGCGGACGATAGCGGCCGGTAGGAAACGCGTCGCGGCGCTGTTCCAGAGAAAAGGAGGATAACCGGTCGTACGCGCGTAGCCGCCTCGTATAATGAAGAAGAAGAGGCAACATCGGCGCGTCAGCCCCGGAAGAGGCAGCACTCTCGTTGAACCGCCGCGCTGTCCTCGTCTACGTGTCTCCGGCGTGTACACATTTGAGCGCGGTTAGTTGCGGCACGGATTAACGGTTACGGTCTCGTGTGCTTTGCAGCCAACAGAGATACACAGACAGACAAAGAGAAAGAGAGAGACAGAGGGGAGTCGAGAGGAACAGGGAGAAGTCGAGAGAGAAAGAGAGAGGGGGCACAGCCAGTTTAAATGCATTTGTATTTGCATTTACATCGGCCCAGCGAGCGACCAACACGACCGAGCGACCAAATTGCCACCGCGCGGGTTGCACGCGCTGAATTCCTCGGAAATAACGTCGTAAATAAACCGTCCGCGCCGTGCGCCATCCCCTTGGTTCCTCGCTTTTTTTCGCATGCTCCTTCTCGGCCCTTTCCGGGACGCGTAATCTACGGAACCCTCGCGGAGACACGCCTACGAGAGGAGAGACCGGTCGGTGATTGATGGCGCGAGCTATCCCAACGATTCCGCGAGATAACGCGATTCAACGGGGCTGCCGTGCTTTTTATTTAGTGCTTCAACTTTCGGGAAGATAGAGGGTCGGTTTCCGAACGTAGTTTCGAACTTACTTCCCGATTATCTTCGCGTGCAGGACAATTGAAACGTGGACTGACTGGCTCAAGACGTAAGTGCGTAAATAATGATAAAGCGCGAAGAAAATTTTTTCAAATAACAAAATACAGGCAAGCTTGTTCGATTGTGCCGCGTAGTATCTGAACAGGCCGACTAATTTGAAATTCCGGCATAAGTAACGGGCCGGTGGAATGTACCTCGAATATCCAGGGACGTTTCAATTATCCTCCTGCGTCCCGAAATACTCGTTAAGCGAAACGAGCGCCGAATCCTCTTGGACTGCCCGCTGCGACGGCGTATAAGCGAGCTATCGAGCGGAATCGCGCCGAACGCGTCGCCATGATTTACCCACGATCCGGCCACCGAGAGTGCGACCAAACGACAAATAATCGGCAATTTCACCGAGTTCTCCGGGACACGGGAATCCAATTAACGCGACTGTGCCACGGCGATCGTTAAAAGACCATAAAAACCGTACTCCTCGGTCGCCTCTTCGATTCACCGCGACGACGTCGCTTTAACGAGACGTCGTCGATCGTTTCACGTCGTCGGGAATCTGTCAGAAACGTACGGTCACCTTTCCGTGAAAGACCATTTTCACCGTTACTTCGGTTTCACCCCTGCCGAAAAGCTGATGCGAAAGGAAACTTTCAGCCAGCCCCGACGCGACACGTTCGTTCCCCGCTTCCACCCGTCTTCTTTTCCCTCCCGCAATACTCCGGCGAAAATGCTTCCCTGACACGCGTAAGAATCATAGCCGACGTGTCTGCCGACGACAGGATAAAGAGCCGCTCCTACACGCACTTACGTCACGTCCTTCGATTCTCTGGTCTTGCCCTCTCTTTGGTCTCTCTTTGCGAACAGGGCAACCGGCGCGAGGTCGCTCGCCGTCTTATCGGCGACGAGGCTCCGAGCAGATAAGACACGTCGGACGCGGCGCGCGCCCAGCAGCATAAATTGTTTCGAGGGCACTCGCCGATCTCGCGAGCGATTCGCGACCGGAACCGACTGACAACAGACACGTCTGCCTCCGCTGTATATTGTTGCGCGTGTGTTTCTATGGGGTGGTCAAGTGGTGAAAGATGAGGGGGGATTTTTTAAGGTGGTCGAAGGAGGCTCGAGAGGGAGGGACAATGCGATCGAACGTCGACTTTGTCGACAGAGGGTAGATTGTTTCTTATCAACTTGTCTAAAAATTTTTTTCCCAGTGTTCATAGGGGGAGGGCGGCACGTTTCTTACGTTAAGAACGGGACGTTCACATATTCGTAGATTTTTCATTAATTTTCATTCGAGATTGGAAAACGGGAAACGAGATTGTGCACTGTTCCATAGAGGATGAAACACGAAGTATTTATTTGGAGATTTTGCAAAAGCAAAA